TGAGCTTAGTGAGCCCAATGGGTTTGGTGGGCCTAAGGTTCTCTTTACTTGGTCTTTACATGGATGACCACCTTTCTCATATATTTGGTAGTATAGGAGTTTATATTGTTTGGTCTTGTATTATGGGCCTAAGTATAAGACTTTTTGGGTTTTAAGCTTATTGGGCCTAGTTTTGGACTTCATGGGCCTTTGGGCTTTTTTCTGCTTCTGAGCTTAGTGAGCCCAATGGGTTTGGTGGGCCTAGGGTTCTCTTTACTTGGACTTTACATGGATGACCACCTTTCTCATATATTTGGTAGTATAAGAGTTTATATTGTTTGGTATTGTATTATGGGCCTTAATATGAGACTTTTTGAGTTTTAAGCTTATTAGGCCTAGTTTTGAGCTTCATTCATAGGATGCTTGATGTCATTGAGGAATGGGCTTCATATCTCACTCACGCTTAGCACTAAACTACCCGCCCCTAATGTCATCGAGGCAAAGAGTCTCATATTCTCTCGTGTCTGTTAATTAGGCAGAGGGCCTTTGTCTAACTTATATTTAACGCCACATACATTAGCACCCAATGCAAATCCAAACAGAAAATGAGTATCTCTTCTCACACTAGGTGACATTTAATCAACACCTAATGTTTGTAGCATTGACAACAAAACCACGAAAGTCTATGCACCTTAAAAGCAATTAAACTAATGTAAATCAAATTCAAAAATATTTGGTAACATCATTTTTTTAAGAGGAAAATATCGAAATATAAAAGTAAAATTAACAAATTTTTGCAATAATTTATATGAGAGAAAATTATATTTATAATAGAAAATTTTGTTTGGTGTTATTTTCTAATTATAATTAGAAATTTACGCATTTAATTAATGTAAACCTCTAATTCTAATAAAAAAATATTATCAATTAAAAAACTATACTTAAATTTTAAATATAATTTAGTAGAATGAAAAAAAGATATTATTTTGTTTAAAAAAGTGCTTAATGTCACATATGAGTTAGAACGGGCCGTTCCGAATTCAGAACGGCCCGTTCTGGTTTAAGTAATCATACGTTATTTTTGAATCTGGAACGGGCCATTCTGATATTGGAACGGCCCGTTCTGGTCTAGTCATCACGTGTTTTTTTTCTTCTGGAACGGCCCGTTCTGGTGCATTATTCATGTGATATTTTTTCATTTAGAACGGGCCGTTCCGGAAGTGACAGCAGCTGCTCCTCCGTAACACGTGTTTTTTTTGGGTAATTTAAAAAAAAATTTAGTAAAAAATTTGAAATTTAAATCCTGTGATAAGGTGCATTGGTAAACACTAACCTTAGATGCATCTAGTGGTAATTGTTCATGGTGTACCCATACACCACTTGGTTTCATGGTCCATTAGAGAATTTACCACATTTATAATGTATAAATGGTTAACTCAAAAAAAAAATTATTTAATCTGTCAGACAACCGTGAGACCATCTCAGACATTAGACATGTCTGACAACGATCCCCTACAGCCTTACATAAGGCCACTCTACAGAGAAGCTTACCAGGCCGTTAATAATCTCACGGTGTCTCCTTAGAACTCAAGGAAGCAGAGGTACCATCCTATAGAACAGATCCTGTTCAAGTAAGGTCCTGACCATGTTATCTGTTGTCGACAAGTTATGTTTGGTAGAACTACATACATACATGCAAATACCACACACCCAACCTTACAACTGACAACAAGGTAATAATGTTCCTTTTCTTTTTCTATATATACTTTTTTTGTGTTTCAAAATGCTTTCCAAATGTTTTCAATGATTACAACAATATTTTACACAGTATTAACTCGCTCTCAGGTTTTTAGGGTCCTTTTTCAATAACAAAGGATGTATAAAAAAAATGTAGAATTGGTAAAATTATTGGGTCTGTCAGACAACCATGAGACCATCTCAGACGGTAACTGTCCAGAGAACGATCCTCTACGGCCCCCAGACGACACACCTCCACAGGGAAGCTCATCAGGCCGTTAATCACGCTCTGATCTCATGGTCATGGTTCATCCACCAGACGTAGGTTCCTGTCTCCTTAGAACTCAAGGATACAGAGGTACGAGCCTATAGAACAGATCCTGTTCAAGTAAGGTCGTGACCATGTGCAAAATGCCAGTTAATATAAACTCGTTTCATTGAATAAACACTTTCGATGTGGGACTATTATGATCTTGGTGACAGTGTCAGTAATACTGTAGTAGTAACTTATCTTTAGTTTTTGCTACGAAGCACCCAAATTATTTAGAGGAAATTGTCTAGTGTTGCTGGGGTTTAGGGTTCCGAACTCAGAAGTGTTTGATACTGGTAGACTCTAAAATTATACAAATGCATGACCAATCCGAAAATGAAAGGAAAATAAAAGAATTTTTAGCTATCAATTGAATCCAATATGATTCAGCTATGAATCTATCTATTTTGTAAGTCATGTCTCGAACGTACATGTAAAGGTGAGTTGGCTCTTTTGAATTCAAACTTTGTTATACCTTTTTTAAAGACTATATAATTCTGTATTTATACTTAGTTTGGTTGGTCTATCTGCAGCGGTTAGCTTTGACATATTTAATTAAATAGTATTACTACTGGTAGCAAGGTGTTGAGATTTGTCAATGTTATATTATATCAAGAAAAATGAATAGATCATGCATTTACAACACATAGTTTGTTAGTGGTTTATACTATTCTGCATAATGCTGGTTGGTTAAGTTATTAGATTGGTCTACGTCTACCTGCAGCAACTAGTTTTAGCATATTCAATTAGTTATAAGATAGTTTAACTTGTACAAACAAGGTAGAGAGTAACTAATCACTTCAAAGATTTATATTTCTTTGGCCTACAACAGCTGCAATTGTGTTGCTTTAATCTCCCGTGTCAATGACATGACTTAAGAGAGGATCGAATAAGATGATGCATCAATCAGTTCTTAACTTTCTTCTGTACAAAGGAAATACAAACTATAAGATGATGAAGCATTTTTGGTGTATCTTAAAACAAACTGCAATGAAGCAACTATTGCATAAAACTAATCACGAAGTTGGTTAGTATTCTCACACTGTTGCGGGTTGAGCTTCGGAAGGGAATTCTACTTCTTTTCAGTTATTGGCTATTTTGAGTCAATCTTCAGATGAGGGAAGCTAGAATGTTTGTTGTTTAGGTTGCATGTGAGTTTAGAAACTCAATTGATGCATGAAGGTTGAGAATCCATAGATGGATTGAAGAAAATATCATTTTTGGGGTTTTGAGAAAAAGGAGGATTTTGATGCATAGGTTGGATGCATGTGAGATTTAAGTTTATTTTGAGTCGTATGGAGCCTATGCATTGTGTTTTGTGTTTGCATGTGGCTGAATTTGTTAGTTTGGATGAGAGTTTTGAACTCTCTAACTGGGATTTAGGTCGGGCACAGGTTGAGCGCGCCAGGCGTGGAAGAGCTTAGGGCTCTTGGGTTGGATGTTGGGCCAAGCGTGATTTGGTTGCGTCAGGCGTGGAGACTCTTAGGAGTCTCTGTCTCAAGGACACCGAGCGTGAGTTGAACGCGCCGGGTGTGGATGAGTTTTAGGACTCTCAGGTTGGGATTAGGCTGGGCGAGCTCAGGCTGCGCCGAGCGTGAATATGTTTATAAATAATTGATTTAAATTGATGCTTATGCATGTTTAAAGTATTTTTCAATGTTACATAAACAATTATTTATATTCTAATTTAGAGAAAATAACCACTATGATTAGCTTAGTGATTGGGTGGGGAATGATTGAGATAATTAAAAACATGATGATTTAAGTTCAATCCTCATTGTAATCTTTCATATTTTTACTAAAAAAAAATTAAATTTTACATATATACAACACAATTTTCAAACTTAAACTTAGATAAATAAAAATACATTTATTTTATAAGGCTTAAATATGTTTAAACTATATCGAATTAGCTTGATTTTCATATTACTACTTTTTAAATTTTTTTTTTTGTTAAAATTACCTAACAATTTTTTTTTTCAATTTAGTACCTGACATTAGTTTCTTCTGTTAAATAATGACGTGGCAAACGGACTACCACGTCATCACCCAACAGTGTCTGCCACGTCATCCAAGGGACTGCCACATGGACATGGTGATGATGTGGCAGACCGTCTGCCACGTCATCACTTGATAGAGGGGGACCAACACCAAGTACTAAATTGAAGAAAAAAAATAGTCAAGTATTTAAAACAAAAAATAATAAATTAATAAGTAGTAATCTGCAAAAATTGACTTAATTGAAGGTAGTAATCTAAAAACCGACCTAATTGAAGGTAGTAATTTAAAAATTGTCACTGAAAGTAGCTAGAATTCCGTCTGGAGGAGACTTGACTTAGCAAATAAATTTTCAGTACTTCCATATAAGTGAAAGATACAAAATGAAATATATATATATATATATATATATATAAAAGTTAAGTGAATATTTGTGGCATTAACTTTCCTATCTTACAAGTAAAACTTATAAGATTTGAAATTAAATTTTTATTTAAAAACTTATTATTAGTAAATATAAATATTACACACATATATATTATATATATACTAAGTTTTAATATAATTCCATAATTTTCTTTTTTTATAATCAAGTACAATAGTTTCCATACATGATCAATGGGAAGCTAATTTATGTGCATTTGTTGCTTTTGTTTCTAGTTACAGGTGTTTTATGTCTTCTTCATTTTATTAATCTTCACTTTTCTCTACTTCTTCATTGTCCACTATCTTTGTTGGAATTTTTGGTCCATCTTTTATGACAAACCAAAGTTTGAAGTTGATGGATTATATGAATATTCGCATACGTTCCTTTTACTCGTGTAATTTATGCAATCGAAATATGGTGGCCTCAAAATAGGTTGTCCTTCAGTAACAATTTTCAGATTACTACTGTAACACCCTAGTTTTCAAAAAGGTTATTATTATTATTATTATTATATGATATTCGGTTATAATTATTTTAATAATTATAGAGGAATATTATTTTGTACGTTTTAAATAATTATTGTTTTGGACAATTATTTTGTATGTATTAAATAAGTATTTTTATTAGCGTTTTTGAATAAATGTTTATATGTTTTAATAGAAGGTTGATTTTATATGATATTTTATTATTGAAAAGAGTCTTAGACTCCTAAATGTTGTAATCAGCTATATTTGTGATATTATTAATAAGTCCCACATTGGGCAAACACCAAGAACATTTGCAGAAGCCAACAATAAAACATAATCATCTGCTACATTCCAAATCATACCTTTCTCGGCCTTTTGGCTAAGATCAAGTGTAGTATCTGTTCTTATCAGTTTAATATCTGATATGTGAGTCATTGACTCACTTGATATTAAATTTATTTTTTAGGGAGAGGGCCCTTCGAGGTAGCTTGCTACTGGGGTTCTCATGTGTCGCCCATGCCTTACACTACAGCAGGGGCTTGGCGCATCCCACCTAAGTCAGTTTCAATATTCTAATTATGCTGACCACCTTACACTACAGCAGGGGCTTGGTGCATCCCACCTAAGTCAGTTTTAATGTATTATGTAAAGTACACATTATATTCTCAATATTTGGTCAATTTGATTATTTTATTTCCAGTTTTAATGTTATATTGATATTAAAGATCCTGTCCCATCCCATCCAAATCAGTTTCATGTAATAGGTAGATAAGAGAGTCATAAATGGCTGCAACATTATTTTCAAATATTTGGATTTTGAATTTTAAGAGCTATGGTTATTATATTCAGATTTTGTATTGTATTAGCTATGGGTTGTTTTTTAAAAAATGATGGATGCAACATACTATTTTTCTTTCTCTGAAAGAATCAAACAAAAGGTTGATTCTCCTTTTGCAGTGTACTTCTCATAATGATATTACCTTATTTTTAAGAACTAGTTGTTGTAGAGGGGTATATCCCACTTTTCTATGGCTGAGTCTTTTCCTTGACTTAAAAGATTTTTCAGAATTTGCTTGGCTCTATCCTTTTGGTCTTACGCTGAACATCTCCTTTAACAATATTTCATAGAAAGTGGCTAATTTGATCAACACTCTAACTTCTAATATCTTTATTGATTCCCTTGCTTTTATAATTGATCTGTTAAATTATTATAAGTTCTCTTATTCTCCTTTTAGAGTTCAAAATTGGATTTCTAATTTTCCTTGAAACTATAAATCCAAGAAAGTTAATTGTTCATCTTGTCTAGTATGTTAATTTTTTTTGCCAACTGAGTCAAATTTTACTTGTCTTAATGTGATTTGTGCAGAATGTGGTATTTCAACTTACTGAACTTAGGGTTCCAAATTCAATCAGCATGTCATTATATTTTATGGTAACCAGTTGCTTACTTTCCTCAGATTTGGTATAAGTTGAAATTTATGATTGTAGCTCTTATATGGCCACAATTGATTATCATATATTCATATGGTCTCTTTTCAGGGAAAATGTGCAAGACCTGTGACATCTGTGCTTAGTTTCTTGACAGGTTCACCTCTGCTTTCAAAGGCATATTGTAGAAACTATCAAATACTTCAACACAACCTTATTTTGTTGGTAGGAGAATCTTTTGTATGATTCTTTAAACAAGAAGGTACAATAATGCAGATGGACTAAAATATTAACTTATTTTCAGAGAAACAAAATTAAACTCAACTCAAATTTAAGAAATTAAAAACATATTTAAGTTAATTTAAAGATCAAATGAATAACTTAATCTATATTTAATTATTTATTTCAATATGATTTTAAGTTTTTAAAATAAATTGGTTATTTTTTAGAGAAATAACTTTCAAGGCCTTTTTGAAGTTAATTTTCAGGGTTGAGTTTTTATTTTGGATTAAAACAAATAATTCAGCTGTTTGTCTAAGCAAATGCATTATACCTTGTAACACAAGGACACTTTGAAGGTTGACATAACTTGGCTATTGAACTATTTTGAATTTCATTTTACCCCTTGAACATGACATCACCCCATGCCTCAAAAATGGTCATGAACTCAGCATGGAGTAAGAATCACACATTCTTCGTTCTACTATGAAGAAGGAAACACTCAACAATTTATCTTTTGGGATAGGGAAGAGACCCTTCCTTATTATATCTTTTGGGGTACGGAAGGGACTCTTCCTTACTGTTTACACTTATACATTTCAGCAATCCAACTGTTCACCATAAAACACAAACTTCCAAAAGGAACTTGCCGGAAAAGGTGGTAAGTGTCATCCAACTTTACAGCATTGCAATGGCATTAGCCGTAGACAACACCCCTTTTAGAAGAGGTCATCAGGCCATTAATCATCTCATGGTCATGATTCATCCATGAGACATAGTTCCTGTCTCCTTAGAACTCAAAATACAGAGGTGTGAGCTTATAAAACAGATCCTATCAAAGTAACATTCAGTTTTGATTATATGAAGGCTGTGTTTTATTAAAACTCAACAATGTGGAACTAATTGAATAGGCTAAACGACCACTGTAGCACATTTTTTAAAACTTATTACTAAAATAAGGCTGTTTTGAAACAATTTACATCTTTGGGGTTCTTTTATTGGGTGTCGCTATGGGCCATAGCGACATCCATGACACGTGGGTTTTTTTTTTTTTTAAGGCTTGATTGGGCTGGACCAGTGTCGCTATAGGCTTGCCCAGTACGCCACAGCGCCACATAATTTTTTATTTTTTTTTTCGTTTTTAAATTATTTATTACATTATTTTTTAGTAGGCGCTGTGGCCCAGTACGCCTGAGTGACGCTGTGGCTCACAGCGCCCCATTTTTATTTTTATTTTCGTTTTTCATTTATTTTTTAAATTATTTTCTTAACAGGCGCTGTGGCCCAGTACGCCTGAGTGGCGCTGTGGCTCACAGC